CAGGACAGTCAGGGCTACATAGAGGAACCTGATCTACATATCTACATACATACATACAAACATTCTATATACTTCAGCTTTCTAGTTCTTCTTGGAACTAAAAGTTGGACAATTTGAGATCACATTCTCATGGGAGCAGGAGCTGGTGCTCATAGGCACTGTATCCTTTTCAGAAGACCCCACTTCTTCATGTTCACCACAGGCCTAGTCATTCATTCCCCGTGAACCTGTTTCCTGCCCTGACCTCTCAGGGAATGCACTTAAGCAACTGGGATAAGAAAAGATATTCCACAACAGCCATAGAGCTTGGCTTCAGGGAGTCTCATCATTTTTCTACAGGAAGCATCCACTACCCCAGACTGTGCAGATTTCTGTTTTCCCTGAGTTCTTATTCTCCACCTTGAACGCACAGAGAAGACCCACAGCTTTCTTCTCTGCTTCCTGTTCCTCCTCAGAGACTCTTTCCTTGCCAGCCTCACCTGCCCACTCCAGCATGTCCTCAATGTTCTCTGCTGCCCTTGGTACCAGTCGGCTCTGATCAGTGTCCTCCAGTCTCAGAATGAAGCTCCCTTGGTGCTTCTTGGCAAAGATGTAGTTGTAGAGAGCGGTACGGAGGCCACCCAGGTGCAAGAAGCCTGGTAGAAGAGAACAGGTCAGATAGGACAGCGAAAAGGCTAGATCACAGGCCTCAACTGAAATGCAAGTAAGAATGTCCCAATGGAGTTTCAAGACCAAGAAATGGCTGTGACTGTCCTATTTCTTTGGTTGATAACCAGACTGTCACTGAAAAAAAACACAGTGGGGATGGAGAGAAGGCCTAATGGTTACAAGCACTGGATGCTCTTCCAGAACCCAGGTTCACTACCCAGCATCTACATGATGGCTCATAAAACTATCTGTAACTCTAGTTCCAGTGGATCCAACACCATCTTCTGATCTTAGCAGGTACCATATAGAGATGGTACATATACACACATGTAGACAAATTACTCATAATGTAACATAAAATAAACAAATCTTAATAACAACAGAAAAGAAAAAGTAAAGGACAGGGTGGTTGACTCCATTTAGTCCTTCATCTTGGGAATGGAAAAACACCCAGGTGTCAGGTCCAGGAGCTTGTCACCACATAAAAATGCTCCAACTCTTCCTGAGTGTCTTTAGCACTCAACTTTGACATTTGCCTCAAGGCCAAGTTTCACCAGAAGGAGAAATGGCGTTCATTATCTGTTTGAAAACTATTCAGAGGCCAGATCACACTAGCATTTACATTACATAAATCTACTGATATATTCCAGGGAGGAAGAAGGCTAATTACATGTTAATAACACATCTAAATCCTATTTAAAAAAATCATATTTTCATATATACTCTACATATCATACTTAATCACATCATGCAATCTACATTTTTCCTACTTGAGATTGTCACCATAAGCGCTAATTATAAGTAACTGTAATAAAGCAGGTGGTGGTGGCACACACCTTTAATTCTAGCACTAGGGAGGCAGAGGCAGGAGGATCGCTTGTGAGTTTGAGGCCATCCTAGTCTACAAGAGCTAGTTCCAGGACAGGCTCCAAAGCTACAGCAAAAACTGTGTCTTGCAAAACAACAAAAAAAAGTAATTATGATCAAAAGTAACATCTGATTTCACGATATTTCCCTTTGTTGGAGTTTAAACTTTGAAAGTATTATTACTGACTAAAAGTTTCAAATTTTTCCAGGTTGGTTATTTCCCCTTTCTGCTTTTTTTCTTTTTCTTTCTTTTTTTTTTTTTTATTTTTGAGACAGGGTTTCTCTGTAGCTTTTGGTGCCTGGCCTGGAACTAGCTCTTGTAGACTTGTAGACCAGGCTGATCTCAAACTCCCAGAGATCTGCCTGCCTCTGCCTCCCGAGTGCTGGGATTAAAGGCGTGTGCCACCAGTGCCCAGCTTTTCCCACTACTTTCTTTGGTTCAACCCAGGGCCCTGGATCTCCACAATCAAGCCATGTACATTCATAACGACCTCATCTGCATTTCCAGGTACCGAAGGCACCATGAGACAGGAAATGTTCTTCTGGATACCAGGCAGACCTGGCTCAACACTGATTCTATGTGAGACTTTCAGCAAATTATTACAAACCCACAAAACAAGTAGTTCCACGTGGAACTGAGTCTCAGGAATTTCAAGACAAAGTTCAAATTCTACCTTCAGGGGTTAGTTAAATGGCTCGAGTCAATAAAGTGCCTGCTTCACAAGCATGACAACCTGACTTTGGATCCCCAGCATCTACATAAAAGCCAGACATCCAGCTGGTAGGTTCCGTGCTGGCAATGGGAAACAGGCAGATTCCTACAGTTCACTAGCCAGTCAATTTTGGTGACTCTCTCACACCCACATGAAAACATAAATACACCATATATGAAATTCAAAAAAGAATTCTCAGTCTATCATTAAGAAATTCCTGCTGGGGGCACACGCCTTTCATCCCAGCACTCAGGAAGCAGAGCCAGGAGAATCTCTGTGAGTTCAAGACCAGCCTGGTCTACAAGAGCTAGTTCCAAAACTACAGAGAAACCCTGTCTCGAAAAAAAAAAAAAATCCTAACCTTTGGGAATTCACTTAGCTTTCACAAGTTTCAATTTGCTGATGTCAGTAGGCTTAAAAAAAAAAAAAAGTCAGGCTCGATCTGGTGGCATAAACCTTTCATCTTAACCACTTTGGAGGCAGAAGCAGGTGATCTATATGAGTGAGCCAACAGCCTGGTCTACACAGCAAGTTCCAGGCCAGCCAGGGATACAGTAAGGTCCTGTCGCAACTCACCAAAAACACCTGGATTCTTCTTTATCATTAGGTTGCTATGATACCTAAATGTTGACCAAAGCAGAACTTTAAGCCAGGTCTGGTGACTCACACCTGTAACTCTAGTATCTGGAAGGCAGAGACAGGAGGATTACTGCAAGTTCAGTGCCAGCATGGTCTTCATAGTGAGTTCTAGGCCAATGGGCAATACAGTAAGCTGTTTCCAAATTAAAACAGCCACAACAACAAAAAACCCCAAAATGTATACCTTCAATTAATTTTTTTATATACCTTCAATTAATTTTAACTATCACAGTGATCTACACTGATTGACAACTCCTTCCCATTTGGGGTTTTCCTGCCAGTCAGCAAAGAAATGAAAATGCTAATTGAAGTGAAGGCTACTGCACACAGCAGATGTTGCTGAGTGGCTCAGCTACACTGGCTCAAAACCATCAGTCAAGTACTATTATTAGCCCTACTTGACAAACAGCAAAACTAGGACATAAACAGAGCAGAGAACAGTGCCAAAATGACACATCTAGGAATGGCCAAAAACAGAAATATAGGCCGGGTGGTGGCGGCGCACGCCTTTCATCCCAGCACTCGGGTAGCAGAGGCAGGTGGATCTCTGCAAGTGTGAGGCCAGGCTGGTCTACAAGAGCTAGTTCCAGGACAGGCTCCAAAGCAAGAGAAACCCTGTCTCAAAAAAAAAAAAAATCTATATCTATATATCTAGATAGATGTATGCAGAAAATGCCAGGTCTTGGTGACCTACATAAGTGTCTCTTCAAATAAGAGGCACATCCAGTGCACGCTCACAGTAGGTAAGCACAGAAACGGAGAGTTGAGGTTTAGAAACTTGCATCCATTGATAAGCCATTTGATATCCACTGAGACTAACAAAAAATTAGCTTTTGTTTTGTCTGGTTTCCAGATACTCGTTTTTTTTTCCCCTAGTAGTTTCATTTATGTTAGTCTTAAATACAGAATCACAACTGGTAATTAAGAATCAGGGCTTCCACCACACAGAGTTTAAGAAATTCCACGATTTATATCGCCTGCCCAGAAGCAATGTGTCATTCCTGCGCTGCTGGGACTCTGTCCCAATGATATTTTTCTGCTGACCTTGGCTCTGGAATGAAAGGTTGCTCGGCGTCAACTGGGTGGAAGGTGACTTGAGCTAAAGGAGGGTTGGGAATGTGCGGTGCTGAGGGTAAGTGACTACAATGTTTCTTTCATTTTGGTCTTTCGATACAGTTTCTCTTTGTAGCCCTGGCTGTCCTGGAACTCTCTGTAGATCAGGCTGGCCTTGAGATCCGCCTGGCTCTACCTCCCAAGTGTTGGGATTAAAGGCGTGTGCCCCACCATCCACAAGATGACAGTATTTCTAACAGGCTACACACTGGCCTGTTTTCCCTTGGCTTGCTAAGCTTTCAGCAGTAATAAACCCGGGCCACTGGGCCATTTGCTCTTAGGCTTCAAGCAGGTCTCCTTGACATGTGGTTCTCAACTCAAATGTTAAATCTTCAGCAATGCTTTCTAAGGCACCCTATTCTGCTTCATTTCCAAAATGACATCTATAACTCTAAAATTTTTCTTGTAAGTGCATGTCGTGGTCACTAGAATGACAGTTTCTCCAAAGCAGGAACCCTAACTTTTCAATGACCACTGTATTCTAGTGCATAGGGCTTGGCACAGGTTATACGCACTACACGGTGACTACAAGAAATATAACCGAGACAATACAACAAAAGAACTTCCAGGAACCCGAATCACTTCAGATCTTAGTCCTCCATTTCCGTCTCTGTAAAATGGGGTCGCGCAGACACCGGAAGGGACTGTTTCTGGAACGTTCGGGGGCGGGGACAGACCGGTGGGCTGCGGCGCGGGCGTCAAGTCCGCCAGGATTACCTGTCGGGCTTGGAGCGAAGCGAACTCGCACCGTGACCCCGGGATCTGGGCCCAGACTGGCGTTCCGCCGTCCCACGCGGTGGCCTAGGGCCGCCGCGCGAGGCCCGGCCCGCGGAAGCCTCTGGAGGAACGCCGCCATGTGAAATAGAAATACACACGTGGGCTTCTTCGCGCGTCACTTCCGCGCGGTGGGGGAAATGGGGGAAAAACTCATTCCCACCAATCAACTTCCGCCACAGCGAGAGCGGCCCCGCCCACTTAAAGGCGCAGGCCGCCGATCTGGGCCGCCCACTCCCCTCTGAACAGCTGGGACGGTGCACCGCCGCTAGAGGACGGCGTGCAGGGAGAGGGCCATTTCCCAGACCCGCCCCCTCGGCTGCGGGAATGCTAAAGCGTGGCAGGGGCCGGCCGGGGAAGCGGAGGAGGCGGGTCTCCATAGAAACCTCCACCTGTTTCCGGCCAGGCTGAGTGAAATTAGGGGCTGTAGCGGGGGCCAATCTCAGCCAGCTCGCTTCTTCCCGGCGGCCCCTGCGGGAGCGGTGGGTGTTGTACACAATCATCATGGCGGCGGCCGGAGCCCCGGATGGTGAGTGCGGAGGGGAAGGCGGTCGGTCGGCGGCTGAAGAGCTGCCGGCGCTGCGGGGGTCGGGCCACAGAAACTGGCCCTAGAGGGAGGAGGTGGCGCAGCAGTGGCGCCCGGGCTCATTCTCGTCGCAGGCCCGGCCCGCGGCGAGAGCCCACCCTCTTAACCCCTTTGCAGGCATGGACACGGAGGCTGAGGCTGTGCCCACCGAGGCGCCCGCACGGCCCCTCAACTGCGTGGAGGACGAAGCAGCGGCGGCGGCGGCGGCGGCCGAGGACTCCTGCGACGCGCGAGGCAGCCTGCAG